AGCCCGGCCCAGCGCTGCTGGATGTCTTCAGGCACTGACGAAAATTGCCCAACGTTGAGATATATATATATAAACAATGATACCTAGGTCCCACCTTACCACGGGGATCAGTATTTGTGCCTGAAATTAAAAATGCTCTTTTGTCAAATATATATATATATATTTAATGCAGTTGCAATATTGATGCAAGGAAAAAATGGAAGTTTTGAACTGAAAAATGGAAGTACTGAACTGAAAGTGATTGCTAAAGGTGACCTTGAAGGGCAGGAGATAAATCACACTTTAAATTAATAGCTACTTTGTGTGAAAGTTCACTACTAGGGTTTAAGTCCTTGTTCTTACTCTCAATCTGTTTTTTTTTAATGTGTAATGTGGCATAAAATAAATACCTAAAATAATAAGGAACATCAGCTACTAACTAAACCAATATACTTGGTCTTGATTTCTATATTTTTTTACTCCAGAGTGGTTTAATTGAAGATACTCTCATTCACCTGCTGAAATCCTCTCCCTAAGGATTTTTTTTTTCCTTTAGATAGAAAACGCTGTTGCTTTAAGGGAATCAATGTCCCTTAGTCTTCTTACAGCTACTTTAAATCATCACTTCTGTAGCCTTTGCTACAGACTTGCTCCTGCACTTGTTTGCCTCCCTGTCAGGCTTTGTGTGAGCACAGGGAATTTCTGGAGCTGTGCTGGGACTTGACCTGGGGAACTGATCAATGGTAACACCTTGGGATCATTTGCTAGAATAATTTCAATCTGTACCAGTTACACAGCTGATGTCTGTGCTTGCATAAAGGGAAAGGCAGATGTTAGTGGGGTACAGTGGCTAAAGGGGAATTTGCACTTTTTTTTTCATTTTTTTTAATGGAGAGGCCAGTTTAAGATTACTGTAAAAATAGAATCATAAAGATCTGCAGATGAATAATTTAGGAAGAGGAGAGATTTGCTTGAATTAAAAAGTAAGGCTTATACGAGTGACTAGTACAAATCTTATTTTAGGGATTAGGGGCGTGCTGCCCTTTACAGCAGAAGGAGGAGTATATTTTAATAAGACTGCATTTCCCAGAGTGCATGAGGGCTCTCTTGCCTGGGTCAGCTGATCTATATTGTGAAATTTTCCTTATTTCCTGCCGAACATGAATGGAATGACTTGTGTGTCTGAGTGTCTCATTTTTCCTTCGTCAGGTGATTTAATGGCTTTTGACCAGGATCCTGGTTCAGAACAATGGCAAAAAAAAGAACCCTGTGATAATTAACTAGTTCAGTATACGGAAAACTGCTTCTTTTGGTGAGAAGAGATGACATGAAGAAGTAATACGCTGCAGGCTGCAATATTAACTTCATGTGAAAAGGTAGAGAGTATCTTTATCCTTTCGTGCTGAACCATCATTTTTATTTTTTCACTTACGGATTTTGCTGTGCCTTATTTAAGGTAGCCATAAGATTTTTGATTTGTCGGTAATTACATCCTAATAATTAACAAGCAACTCCAAACATATTTTAAAGCTTTATACTTTGTTTAATTCTTTTTGTTTGTTTGTTTTCACCACAGTTTAAGAGGAAGCTTCTAAGGAGAAATACTGTTCTTCCAGGCTGAGTTGACAAGCTTCCCAAGAAAACACAAAAATGTCTCCAGATTCAAAAAATTTTTTCAACATACTTATTTTGGGAGTCTCATTTATGTTTATATTTACTGCTTTCCAAACATGTGGAAATATTGCGGTGAGTGTGAATTTCAAAACCTGTCACATTTGTATCAGTTACACTTTTTTTTCTTGTCTTCTGCCTCCTCTAATGCTAATCATTTCTTCACTTGGAATATTTATTTTGCAAGACACGTTAACAGTTTATTTCCTTTCTTTTGACTCAGTGTTTAAATTTATGTTCAGGCAATTCACTTTAAGATACCCTACTTAGTATGTAACTGTCTGCTTAGAAAGTAGAAAATTATTGAATTCTGTCAAATATTTGTAGATTAAAATAGTGTCTGCATTGACATCTCCAATATTTAACAATTGAATTAAATTAGACCTTTCATATTTCTGATTTTTCTATAGAGTAGCTATATATATATCTATTTGACTAAGAGGTAGTTATTAACCATACCTCCCAGTTTCTCCTAGAGTGGCTTTCCTAGTCTGTCGTGTTTTCTATTTTGGCAAATTAGCCATTGAGGGTGTGTGAGAATAACAGCTGACAAGCAGCCAGACTTTCACAATTGCTAGAACTGCCAAGTTAACCTTCCATCCAAATAAATTTACTACTTAGATATCTTGTATTGCTTTGCATGCTGAAGCAAAACTGTGAATAAAAGCAGACTGCATTCTTACTAATTAAATTGTCACAGTCCTGATGCTAACATACCTAACCCAGATTCTCCAACTTAGATATTGATGTCACTTTGAACATTAATTATATGCCAGAAGAAGAGTTAAAAGTCTAAATATATCTTGAACACACAGGCCTTCCAGCTTCCCTTTTTCTGCATGCAAGAAGAATCCTTTCTGGGGTCATAGGGATAAATGTCCTTCATTGCATTGCAGAAATGATTACTCAGAGCTTTTTTTTTTTGTAAAAATCATAGAATACAGCATGATCAGTGATCTTAGATGTTCTGTTTCTAATTTTTCAGACTTTGCAGATGCTGATCAGTTTTTGAAATTAATGGGACTAAGTAGTATGAAATTGCACCCTAAAACACAGACTCCAGCCAGAAGAAGCAGTTCTATTTTAACTTTCTTCCCTCCCTTTAAGCAGTGAATTCTCAGCACCTCACTGAATTTGACTTGAATGAAGTGATGAAGCAGTTATGCTAAATATTGTATCACCTAATCTATTAAAATGACTTTAATTCAGATCTGCCTCCCTATCCAACTAACTAAATGGTCTCATGATCACTAAAGCTGATTCAAAGAGGGGAAAAAAAAAAAAGGGGAATTGGAGTTAACGGGAAGAGGAAGAGAATGGAAACTCTTAGCAGAAGCTGAGAGATCGTATTAAGAGTATTGTGAAACTTCAGCTTTTGTTTCTACTTTTTTTTTAGATGAGACAAGTTATACATACATATCTGAGAAGTAATTTGTGAAACAAGTTTTTTGCAATGTCTTAACACTTCTGTTAAAATCATGATAAAGTCCCAAAATGATAATTACTGCTTCAAACATAGCTTTTTCACTGTCAAATATCTCATCAGCTTCTGCTTTCATAAATAAGCCTTTAGTACCATTCCTCACCTGAAGCCAGAGTCAGATCTTAGTTTCATGGCTTCATCTGTTGTTGCTCCAATCATAAACAAGGTCCAGTGAAGCAAAGGTAAAACACAGGGTGATAGACCACCCGTGCACTTTATTCCATCTATGTATAGAAGAGAGAGGCACCTACCTAAGATGGTTTATTTTGCAGTTAGGAATCTGAATCCCCTGTCTAGAAATACTTATTTCTTAATTAGGAGGGAGAGAACATAAGGTGACAGTGCCCCCAAATTAGGCCTCTTAAGTTAGATTTTCTAAAGAGGCCAGGTGAATCTAGACCAAACTTTGCTGGAGTCTGTCTCCAGGAGAATTTCTCATACTGGTAAATGGGTAGCTCAGTAATACTTACCTTTATAGCACAACTGTTGAATTGTAATTAATATTTTGATTATTTTGAGTACTATTAAGAATCTACTAATGACAAATTCTAATTTTTAATTGTGACTTTACTGCAGATGTTTTAAAGCCAAAAGAGGCTCTTTAACATGTTAATACATGTGCTTTTTTTTTTTTTTCCTCACAGCAAACAGTTATCACAAATTTAAACAGCACAGAGTTTCATGGCAGTGGCTATACAAGGTAATTTATAAAGATCTCGTTGCTTTGCTTTTTGCAGGGTCAAGCTGGTTATAATTATACCTGTTTATTCTTTTAAGAGATTGTAATGTTTTGCTTATTTCACAATTTAATAACATTTTAGAAGTTTTAAGCATGTTTTCATTTTAAAACTGTCTAGTTTTACTCTGTTTTCTAATTGAATTGTATACCTGCTCTGTGTATTTTCTTTGTAGGCAGAAAAAGCACTCTATAATCATGACATTCTCTGCTTTTTATCATAGGAGATGAAGAATGTGGATTTTTTTTGTTTAAAAAAAAAAAAAAAAACGGCTAACTTAGGACTTGATTTTTTTGTCCTTTGTGCCCTGTGTGTATGATAGGTTGTGTGGATCAGCTTTCAGGAAAGATTGCAACAAAGGTCAAAGGTGTGATTCACAAAGGTGAATGGAGTGGTTGGAAAGAGAAGATGAACAAGGTTCAAAGCTGTGAAAAAGCATAGGCAGCCTCACTTTTGGAATATTTGTTTTCTGTTTCAAGTATGAACAGTGACATTTTGTATGCCAAACTGATCCGTCATTAGAAAAATGTTGCTGCTTTGAAGGCTTTACAGTCTTATTTTAAACTGAAAATATACAGCTAACGTAAGGCAGTGTCATAAAATTGCTGTGGTACCTCTGTCATGAATTGAAAACTTCACTAGTAGGATGAATGAGGGTCTGGAATAGTCGCCCTTAGAACTACTGGGCACAAATTCCATACCTCTTGTTAAGTCTTGATTCGGCAGATTCCAGTCATAAGTTATAAGATGTAGTTGCGGGCAGTAGTTTGGGTCTAGATTCAGTGATCCAGGAAATCTTGTGTGCTCCTGTATTCCTATGTCAAGATAAAGTGCAATAGATGAAGGTAATTAACAACAGAAAGGATGGAAATGTTTGAATATGGAAGTTATGCAGATACTTAACTATATATGCATTTGACTTGATACTTTGGCTGTTTTTGAACAGTCTTATTAAATCAGCTATGCTTGAATCCTACTTTTTAAGTATTTAATCATCTTTCTTGTTTATTTATGTAGCATGTCAATTATTTATGGAGTTTTCTCTGCATCAAATCTTATTTCACCTTCAATAGTTGCAGTGGTAGGACCTCAACTCTCCATGGTGATTAGTGGTGTATTTTATAGGTGAGTGCTATTCCTGGATCTTTTGTCTGCCTTCTTTGAAGTCTCCCTTTTTCGAAGTCTCCCTTTTTCATACTTAAGGCTATGATGCTTTACATGAAATTGTATAGGGCTAATTAAGGCATCTTCTTACACAAATACTCAGATATCTGTATCACTAGGTACAACTGTAGCTTCAGGATACTCCAACCTAAAGAAAATGGAAAATATTTTTTTCCATAGCATTTCCAGGTTTGGCTAACTGTGGAGTTCCGTTTGTTGTTTTAGGTTAATGCCTACATTAAAAAAAATTATTAAATGTTTAGCGGAGTAAAAAGGTCACCTTTTTTGATATACGACTTGAGATATTTCCCAGGTCACTTACAGGAAGCTATTAATATATATAATTGTTAAAGAGTATTGTCTATTTTAAATCTGTATTTCATAAACGGTTCTGTTCTATTTTAGCTTATACATTGCAGTCTTTATCCAGCCTTCTACATGGGCTTTCTACACTGTTTCAGTTTTTATTGGCATTGCAGCTGCTGGTAAGCATTTTTCTTACCTTACTCACAAATTTCTGCATTTGTATATACATCTATAAAATGATTTTTTTCTTTCTTTTTTTTTTTCCCCTGTTACAGTATTGTGGACAGCACAGGGAAATTGTTTGACTGTAAATTCTGATGAAAACTCCATAGGAAGGAACAGTGGAATATTTTGGGCGCTCTTACAGTCTAGGTAAGCTTTATTTGTTATATGCATATGACAAAGAGACGTTTTATTTTTTTACACTTTTTGATAAGTGTGGGAGACTGTTTTAAAATACTAGAACTTCAGTAAGTGAAGGGGAGAACTGGAAGCAACATTTCTATGATGTAGTATAGAGTAACGAATAAAAATTATTTTGCAGGCCTCTGCTCACAATGCACTAAAAAGATCCATCTGTTTTAGTAGAGCATTTGATGTCTCTCAGCTCTGACAAAAGTCCTGCTGATCATGGAGGGCCGTGTTAATGTGTCAGTGTCCCTCAGTGCTAATGAGCTTTAATTGAACTGACTAACCTCACCTGGGGCCTCCACAGCATGGGGCCTTCAGTTCTTCTAGAACTGGATGAGCACTGGTTTCTAGCTGAGCTTTAGCCATGCCTGGACTTGGCAGCTCTCCTGACCCACCGCAAATTCCCAAATGCCATATTTTAGGGAGCTATAGGTTAATACAGAATTTCCCTTAAGCTGTTAACAAACAAATTAACCTTGCTGGGACAATACTTCAGGTAAGACCAAAGATTGTTTTAAGGAATCATTACAAAATCATCTCTGTAAATAAGTCAGCTTTATGAACTACTAAGTTTCAAAATCCAGTGACAGGTGATTTAGAAGCTTTTAAAATCCAGTGACAGGTGATTTAGAAGCTGATTTTTTTTTTTATTTTTGCTGCCTCCAAATGTCTTGATTTCCTGCTCAAAATGAATAGCTAGCTCCATTTGAAAGAACCCTCTGCTGTATTTAAATGTGTTGAGTAAACATGTAAATGTATAGGTTTACATGGAGTGTATGAATAATTTTTGTATTTCTTTCACAGTTGCACATTATTTTTGTGTAGCATAGTGTTCTTGTGATAACTGCAACTTAAGTCTTACCATAGAAAGTGCTGTTCACCTGTGTTTTCATTTCTTTATATTTTCAGTCTGTTTTTTGGAAACCTCTATATATACTTTGCTTGGCAAGGAAAAACTCACATATCAGGTGAGTGTTACTTGTTTGTGAAAGGCAATCAATGAAATAAAAAAAAAAACATACCCTCCCAATCTGCTTCAAGATTGCATCAGCATCAGCTATTGTGCTGTGACAAAGCAGTAGGAGGACAGATGTTGAGATGTCTGGTGGGACTGAGAGTGCTTTAAACAGAATTTCTGGAAAAGTGTGTAAGAAACTGTAGCTTAAAGTCTTCATTTCTTGGCATGGTTTATCAAGACTAACTTCCTAATGGGCTTATAATACTGTAATTTTCTATGTTTGACATTGCATTAGACTGCTAAAGGGCAGGAATTAGAGCAGCATGTGCTTAGTCATATTCTTCAGCTGATTAGTGGTTGAAACTCATAGGTCGTAACATGGAGATTGTTGGCAGCTGTTGCTGTAAGCAAGCAAGACAAGGTGAGTGGGTGGTATCAGCTAAGAAATTGGCTAGCAGTGGTGAAACTGAGCCAAAATTAAATTTAATTACACAACATGAGTATGGTAGGGGAAAAATAACATTTTGTGAGTTAATGGGGTTGATTGTCCTCTTTTATTATGGTTATGAGGGTTTTTTTTTGAAGTCTAAAAAATACAGTATCTACTAAATTGGTCAGTGCTTCTAACATTTAAAACAAAGTTATTTCTGTAATCAGTTAAGAATTAAATGGTGACTTTTAAAATATAATTACCTAGAAATGTTATCAGTGCAGAAATATTGCCATATTGAGGAAAATAGCCCACTTCATAACTCTGTTTCACGTTCTTTGCACACACAGTTTGGGTAGCACCTCACAGGTCAATTTTTAAAGGTTAACTTCCACATTCTTCCTAAACACAAAGGCTTAAACACTCTTGAAAATACTAGAGGTGCCCTGAATCTGGGTCTGAAATTATTTGCTTTCTAAATCGCATTGCTCTGGTTAATAGAAGAACGCAGCACTTGATTGAAGGAGTTCCACTGTTACCTTAGTCTTGTCTTTAAATGGAAAACACTTGACATGTCCTGAGTGTCCTCTTAAATAAAAGCTAGATGCTCGTATCACAAGATTTAAGAGAATTTAAAAATTAATTCCTTCTCCCTTTTCCTATATATATTGAAAGCATAACAGGCATTTCAAGAAGCACATGGTCTTTCTGGTGTATAACCAAATGGAGGTTATTCTAATTGACTTGGAAACGTTTTTTCTTTGCTTTTAAGCTAGAAGGGAAAAAATGCAAGTGCATAGGCTTGAACGCTGGTCCTAGCATCAGTCAATCTGTTTCTCCATCACAGCTATTAGCTATTTCATAGCATTTTTGTCTCCAACTATCTGTAAATTGGAACGTCTGCTGTATGGCAGACTTCTCTGCTAAACAGGAACAGCACTGCTGCTGCATAGGGCAGCAATTAGTGTCCTTCAGATATTCATCATATGCTTCGTCAGTTAACTGAGAGTTCAGTGGTTTTAAGGCTTTAGTAGTTCACAAGTCTTAGAGTTTATCATGTTATATACTGCTTCTATTGTGTTGAGAAAGAAGAGCTTTTTTGGGTAGTTTTGTATAATTCAAAGCGAATATAGAAAGTCTTGAAAGATGTGCTTTCTGCTAGTAAACACTTTCTATGTTTTCAGTGTTAATAAGGAAAAAATTACTCAGTCTTGCACGAGAAAAAAAAAGTGACACATTTAATACGCCAGTATTTATTAGCATCATAAAGTGAGTTAAGAACTTGCCAGCTACTGAGTAATTTTTCCTCCACATATGCTGCAAGATAGCAAACACAACAGCTTCTGATATGTATTTTAAGCACTCTTGCATAGGATACCTGTGTTAATTCTTTGAAGGTAGTTGACCAAAATGGTTTTTGCACATCTAATTATGTTTGGTTTTTGTTTTTCCGTAGAGAGTGATCGTAGAACTGTTTTCATTGCCCTGACGGTTATCAGTCTTGTGGGCACAGTTCTGTTCTTTCTGATTAGAAAACAAGAGGACACAAAAACACCAGGGGAGGAAGATTCTACTAATGAACTCCAGGGGGACAGCTCGTAAGTGCTTATAGTAATAATGTATTGCCACATACACAGGTTTATGTGCTCCTGTGCCCATAAATCCGAGCACTTTCCCCTCAGAGCTGAAAACATGAAAGTTATGAACAACCTGTAGAATTACAGATTTAGTAAAGAGTCTGTATCTTAAGTGAGAATTAAACAATTAGGGTTTTTCTGAGATTTCAGGGTTTTCCCTTAAGGTTGTTCCATTAATGAATGTCTTTTGAAAGAGCATTTACCTCTCTTCTTTACTGATTATTAACTGTTTAGCTATCTTTCCTTTTTTTTTTCTCTTCCTTTCACTAGTTTGATTTAAAGATTGGAAGGAGTAGAGATTATTCCTTTCCTTTGTATAGTTTTTCTTTCATGTATTAAAACATGTATATGCTGCAACTTATCCTAGTCTTTTTGCAGGTTCATGAATGCCACCATGTTTAATAAATTAGAAATGCATAGGTAGACACATTGGGTGCAGTCTTGTTTGAGCTATTATTGTAGATATATTTGTTTTATTAATAGAAAAATGAAAATATTAGAAAAACCCAAGCAAGTAAAAGAGTGGAAAAAAATGTTCAATGTTACTTAATAGAAACACTCTGTTAAGGCTAGTATAGCATATATTTGACCAGAAAGCAAATAAATTTTTGAGGTTAGTAGTTTAGATTCTCAGACACTTTTAATAATATATTAGCATACATGATGCTGGGCTAGAACCTTATTGAAAATTTGAAAAATAAATGAATCCACTTTCTTCCATAGTGATTACTCTGGTTATTTTTCTATTCTGACTGAAGTTATTTGTTTACACAGGTCTTCCCAAAGCAAAATGGCAAGAGCAGTGGCTGCCTTTAGTAAGTACTGTTTCACATTAGAATTGCATAAAACAAACAAGAAGTATTCTCTTCAGCTCTCCAGGATTCTGCTGATTTGCAGTCATGTAAAAGTTGCTTAGAACAAACATTTGCAGAGAGTTATAGTTTTATGATCACATTTCAATTCTTCTACACCAAATTCAGACCTTGAGGGCTGGCCTGTTTGAGGAAATGACTGCCAAACAGCAGTGGTTTTCAGGCCAGATATTACTGTTTTTGTAGGGGCACAGGATTAATGAGCTGGGGCCCTGGTAGAAATTCAGTTGGCCCATATGAGTATTTGTGATTTTGACCCTGACAGAAACTGAGCTTAGAACTAGAAAAGCTTGGGAACCACTGAACTAACATGTGGACAAACTACTGTTGCTGTGCAGTTGGTGTGAGGTGACCAGCTCAAAAGAGTTCCTTTCACATGCAAACAGTGGCTGATTCCAAGTAAAGAAAGAGTAGCAAACTTCTAGTAGCAAAACTAGCTACTCTAGTAGAGTAGCAAAACTCTAGCATCTATTCCATGCTAGATTTGTCGAGGAGGGGTTTGGAGAAGTGCTGCTGTGATGCAATATCAGATTTCAGCTACATACAGAGCTTGCATATATAGATAATGTCAGAGCTGTCATCAGCTGGGAAAGCCACCATGTGAAAGTTTTTCACTTAACAAGCTAAAGGAGATGTTGCATGTTGTTTTATTTTGTTGTCAAATGATGTCACTTCAGAACAACCATTTTAAGCTGTAAGTGTCTGCACTTCCACTGAGGTTTGATGCAGCCTTCCTGTGACTGTTGGTTTGTTTTGGAAACACGAAGGTTCCCTTGATAATTTATTCGTTCTTTAAAGATACAATCACTGTGAAGTAAGAGAGTACAAAAATGCAATGAGTGAAAAATTGTCTAATTAAAACCCACTTAACTCTTGGCCTCCTTCCATTTCTTGCAAAAAAAAAAATTCATTTCGCCTAATTTCTTTTAAACTGCAAGTTGGGCTCTGACTGTTTAGCACCATATTTTTACTATAATAAAATAATACTTTGTAATTTTAACTTATTCTTGCTTTAAGCATAAATCAAAAGAAAGTGTAGATTCTTTTCATGATGTTATTGAAGGTTATATTAATTACTCTTGGTATTTCTTTACAGAGAAAGCTGTTAAGCTGAGCTTTACCAAAGAGATTCTTCTTCTCAGTGTTACAACTGCCTATACAGGTAAAAAGCAAATAATATGTATGAGTGTGTAGCAGTATGAGGGCATTTTAACTGAGCGCATTGGACCAGGATTGTTTTTATCTATCTTTGTAAATATTACTTAAATATTTGGATAATCTTTGAGTGAGTTACCACTTTATGACATTTTTATGTCCTAAATCAGTCTGGTATGGAAAAATTCGATGCTGCCCTCTAGTGGATAATGGTCATGATTGCCACTTTATTTTGGAATATACAAATCTCCATAAGGCCAAAGAACGTGTTTGTTTCCAAACATTATTCTGATTTTTTAAGACTGCTCAAAATTCATCATTTTTAGAGGTGCTGCAGTTTTCATGCTGCATTAGGTAGCCTGCTCCTGCTAGACGATTGTGGAGCACCATATTGTTTGTGGTGGTAAAGAGCAGAGGAGATGAAATAAATCAGTTTAGGAATTAAATCGTCTATTTCTGTAAGCATAACAGGATTATTTTAGAATATGCTTCCTATTAAGTGATGTTTGTAGACTACAAATCTTGGAGTCATACTACCTAAACTCAACTTTGTTCCCTTTCCTCATAGTAATGGCAGTAGAAAGTATTTCAAAAGTTATTCTTACATATATAATGAGATAGAGCTGCACATAGACTACTACCTTTGTATATTAAGAATCTTGCTTGTGACTTGAGGATGCAGGTCTTCCTCAGGAATGCTATAATTTGGAAAACATTTTCTTACACTGAAATGGGTTTTATTTCCTTTAATTATTGTGAAGTGTTTTGTTGTGTGGCACTTTTTATGACTTTTGGGAAAGCATCCAAATGTGACTGCATCAGTAGAGCCAGTGCTGAGTTTTAGTGCATACGTGACACTAATAATTGTGGCACATAGTATTTTTCTAATATTTTTTAATATCAACTGACACAGGAGTGTTTCATAATTAATAACTTATATATGTCACACATCTCAGTTAAATATGAATTTCCAAGATACTGTAGGGATAAACAATTTTTTTAATAACTGTTTCTCAGGTAGTATTTAGTAGTTTTTATATATATATATGTGTGTGTGTATATATATATATGTATATTCTTGTCTTCCTTCAAAGGTTTGGAGTTAACTTTCTTTACTGGAGTATACGGAACATGCATTGGTGCTGTGAATAGGTTTGGTAATGAAGAGAAGAGCCTTATTGGTCTCTCTGGTATTTTTATTGGTGTTGGAGAAGTCTTAGGTGAGTTTAAATTTACTAACTTTTAGAGAAGGAAAAAAAAAGATTAAGATGCTGCAGTTATTCAAAATGCTGCTATATTTAATTGTATCTTACTGATCTTAAGTTAGTGTCTTTCAAGCTTCCAACAATAGTTACAGGAAAAAAACAAAGACAAATATGCTTAAAAAGTTGATTACTAAAGTAATTACACTGCTAAATTTCAGTATGTAAGTATCTTTTTCGGTATCTAATACAGACAATTTCATAATCTGCTTTCAGCATTTGTTGCAGTATTTTAAGTTTGGTTCTTTTCTTTAGATCTTCCAGTTCTGATATGAAGGGAAGTAACTAAACTCTCATATCTGTTTTCCTAAGTAACAATTATCCAATCTTTTTCCGCTCCTACAGGTGGAGGAATCTTTGGTTTAGTGAGCAAGAAGAATCGCTTTGGTAGGAACCCTGTTGTGCTGCTGGGCATCATTGTGCATTTCATAGCCTTTTATTTAATTTTTTTCAACATGCCAAATGATGCTCCTATTGCTCCTATGGAAGGAACAGATGATATTGCTTATATGATTCCAAGGTATGCAAGGTTTTTCCTTTGTCATTGGAAAAAAAAAGCTGTTTTCTTCTAAAATAGCATTGGGCTCAGTCAGTTTAACTGCAGTGTAGAGCCCCAGCCTTACCCTGCCCTGGTTTCCAACGCATTTCAATGTTTATTATCAAAGTCTGCTTGATCTACCTGGAGCCAGACTCTCTCACACAGCTTATTGTTAGGAAAGAAATTTAGGGAGCTTCCTTAGCTCATCCTTGCAGCCTTCTGTTGGGGTGTATTTTTTTGCCAGTTTGTATGTAAACATAGTGGTGTCAGCTTGTTCAGACATAACTGCTAATTGCTCAAAACTGCTAGTTTAATGTGTATGTGACTCTGCAGATGACTGTTTTCCAAACTGTAATATTCGCAGTGTATACAGTTTGCTGCAATGTGAATGGGTCTGTCTTTCTCTTCAATTTTTATGAACTCACGGTGCAAGTCTCAGCTTTGCTTTGCTGCCTTTAAGCACCAGGATTTCTTTTAGCAGCTCTAATTCGGTATAGAGTTGACTACAGGTACCATTAGCAGAAGTCTTAACCTTCAAGGATTTTAAACCTAATTAAACTATTCTTCCTAACAGACAAATGTTCACAGTTGCATTGAAATTTAAGGTATAATTAAAGTATAATGACTGTTTTCTCTGTTCCTAAACAAGTCTGACAACAACAGTTTGTGGGGGTAGAGCATTACTTCAATCAATAGCTGTGTAGGCTGTTTGAAAAAATGACTTATAAATTTAACTCTCCTTTCTTCCTCAGCAAGGAGGTGGCCATTTTGTGCAGCTTTCTGTTGGGCTTGGGAGACAGCTGCTTTAACACACAACTCCTCAGTATTCTGGGATTCCTTTATTCAGAAGACAGCGCTCCTGCCTTTGCCATCTTTAAGTTTGTTCAGGTATTTATATCACACATCTTTTTGAATGTATGCTTGCTGGCGTAGTATTGAAATAGTACTTTTGTAATGAGTTCAGGAAAAATAATTCTCTTGTTCCTGCAAAGGATACCAACCTGTCTTTTAATTACTCTGATTCTTAGGAGGAAAAGAAGTTTTCAGGTAGCATCAGCTGAGTTCTGCAGTTTGGTGTAAATGATTCATGAGTGAGAGCTGATTAGTGTGTTTTGAGGAAGCGTAGAGATGGTGATTGTTCTGGTTTAAAGTCAAAAGGCAAGTACAGATGAGCACATTTTTTGGCAATGTTTACTAAATTTGTATTCCAAAGGAAGACTTTGACAGAGAAGTAAGTCAGAAGGAAAAGAAGTTCTTAAATAGTGGTTGAAGACCTTGCAGATTTTGTGCTGTGTTACAGGGAGTTGCCAGTATGTAGACATAAGAATTTGTAATTTCTCTTTTTTTAAGTTATCTTAATCCTCAAATGTGTTTCTGTTAATTGGGGAGCAGAGTTCAGGGTTTGTCTAGTTTAATAGATGACAGCTGCTTCCTTAATTATTTCCACTGATATTTATGCAGTGCTCTATTTTATTTCCTGATATTTAGCAAGTTAAGAGATTGATACTGAATATAAAAATTATTTATGCTATGTGAGGGCTGATGAATATTTTATCTTTAAAAAGGATTGATTGCAAGTAAGCAATGATGTGTGTCAGAGCTCCCAACTATTTTGATATAGAATTGTTTGTAGTATTATAAAACTGATAAAAGGTTTTCTGCATTTTTGTCTTAAATTCCACTCATACTTTGGCTGTGTTGTTTCCAGACTGTTTTTTAAATACCAGGACAATTCTTGCATTTGTGATGTGATAAGTGCTTCTGAGTGTAGGCGTTCATTTTCTACAGTGAATGTTATTTAAATAACAAGTGAAAAATAAATCTGTTACGTGTGATGTCAAGACACCTGTTAGAATATGAAAAAAAGGTTTTAAAATGGTACATCTACTGAAGAAATGTGCTTTCAAGATGTCGCTAAATTACGTGTATGTCAGCGGTAATCCTGTCTACTAATGCCAGACAGTATAATTCCAGTGCTCATTTTTTGCTTTTATTTTCTTCTTCCCTCTCAGTCCATCTGTGCTGCAGTCGCATTTTTCTACAGCAACTACTTCCTCCTGCAGTGGCAACTCCTGATCATGGTGGTTGTGGGGTTCTTTGGGACTGTTACCTTCTTTGTGGTGGAGTGGGAAGCAGAAGCCTTCGCTGCCCGGGGCTCTGAGTACAGCAGCATTTGATGCCGTCACCAGCCTGGTGCAAGGGAGAAAATGGGCACATTAACTGTGAACTGATGTGACAAGGTGAAAAGATGGAGTTGCTGAGGCTAAGATGAAGGAATCCACTGCTAAATCACCGTCAGTCTAGCTGATGGGAACTGTGGTAACGAAACATGGGGGAAAAATGCCAAAAATTGAAAGTGGTGTTTTTTTTTGTTTGTTTTTGTTTTTGTTTTTTTTTTTTTTCTTGCTTTAATCATCTGAGTGTGAGGTGCAGGTTCGCAAAAATCAGATGTTGGAAATGGGAGGAAATAGTGAACTGTGCATTGAAGAACTTTGTTCTGAGATATCCCCTTTTGAATGGGTAATTGCCTAATTTCACTCTGTCCTGCACTACAGAAATTGCAGCTTTGTTTCACCTGAATTATTTTATCTGAGTTTTAGTTCTATAGACACTTAAATTCTAGTATGGAATGAGTGACGTTTTAAGGTATATTGTTTTGTGTGTCTGCATGACTAGCAATTCGTGCTATTGACTTTTTCAACAATTAGATACACCAAAGTGTTTCTGTAGAAAATAATGTTGCCTTATTTGGTATTGTTACTCAGTTCCTTGATTTCCAAGCACTTATTTGTTGTTAATCTGTTTCATAATTTTAAAATTATGATCAGATGCATTTTTAAGAGAATCTTCTGTAGTATGATATAATATTTTTTTTTACGAGGATATGAGTAAATACCCCTCTGTTTGTCCTTTTTAAGGACATAGTCCTGAGACCTGCGGAGCATTGACAGTTGACAAGGATATGTATCTCCTGGAGTAGTATTCACCATTTCTCAAAATCAAGCTGTTTCGGGATGGGTGCTGTGTCTTTCTTCACATAATACTATATGAAGGACCATGAGACGTGGTTTCCCTCCCAAAATCCCTTATGCTCACAGAGATTCTGAGTTCACTGAAATTCTCATCTGCTTTTGTAGCTTAGTGGCAGAGTGCTGACAGCTTCTGTTAGATTCACCTGTTATTAAAATTATTCTGTGATGGCAGCATTTTCTACGATACCTTCCTAGACTATGAATAAGCATATGAATTGGGAAAATAATCTTGCAGTATTTATCCTCTGCATAGTCTAAAAATACCTGAAAAGGTTGACATAGGTTGTTTTATTCCTGTATGTTGCATATTTTGGGAAGATGTGCTGCAAGCTTATTCTGCCAAATGCAAAAACAAGTCTAATGCCATAGCAACTAAGGTTTTAAATCAAAGCTGTTATAGATGATCGTAACATAGGCAACAAATGCAACCCACTTTCATAATTATTTATCTGCTTGACTTTTTAGCAGTTGCAGTTATGTTTCTGTCTTGTTGACAAACAAGATGCAACTGAGAGTAGATCTGGAACAGTGAGAACTTTTATATTAAGACATGCCATGTGGCTATTTTTAGACAAGTACTGTCTGTTGACCTCCTTAAGCACAAGCAGAATGTTCATTTCTTATTTTTTGAAGACAGGTCAGAAAGTTGACTCGGAGAACATGTCCATAGCTCCTACATGTCACAAGTACATGGATGTAGCAAAGGTTAAACTTGAAAAGGTCGTATGGGATCTCCTGTGGCTTCTGCTGTCAGTTTTGCTCTCGCAGGGCAAGTACCACAACTCTCTTGAGGCAAATCCCTGTCTGTGCACGGTAAAACAGCAGCAAAGTGTTGTTTTGGGGGCAGATAAAGAATTTTGAGTTCACTCCAGGTTTTTGCTGTGAGGCCAGTGTGGTATTAATTGGAAAATGAGTGGGCGCTTGAACAGTTGGCTAGCAAAGAAATTAGTGGAGTCTGGAAAGCCTCTCTGCATTCCAGGTGATTGAATAAGTGATGGAAAAAGAGGAGGAGTTGGAGGAAGACACAAAAGAGCAGAGTTACTGTAGCCATCCTAACTTGCCAGGCAAAGTGAAAAAGTGGTTATGGAATTCAGTCAATATATGGGGTTAATGTGGCTGGCTGCACTTGAATGTCTCTTAAAGAGCTTCTCTCCTGTAATTTGAAATATACTATTTTTATATATTGTATGCTGCAAGAGGTATAGGTGACAGGATGCTTTCGGTGATTAGATTTCTCTTGTTGGATACTTACAAGTGCTTTCTCTAAAGTACCAAAAGGGATAAAGAGCTTATCTCAAGAAAAGGAATTATTGACTTCAGTCCTCAAACTATCCTTGGGATCTCTTCTCTCATTGATATGTAGGGGAGAACACAGACTGCAAGTCCACAAGGGACAATTTTGACTTATAATATGTGGAAGACAAAATGATTCTCAGGTCTTATGGCAATGAGCAACTTATAGGTGCATTTAATATAATGCAGTTTAATTTTAGCTAGGCAATGGTTCTCATGAGTTTGCTTTAAAAACTGATCCCTTTTAATGAACTTCCGTGTTGTTCATCTGGGATATGAGAATTATAGAGACTATTTTTAATAAAAGTTTTAAAAAATCTTCTCTAAATGTGCCTGCTTTCAGCAAGACTTTTGAACTGACTTTCAGGGGTGCTGATGAAGTAGGGCTTGTACGTGTGCAGCACCTCTGAGTCAGATGTTTTGGTTTTATCTTCCTTCTCCCCTCTCTGTTCTGCTTGGTCTGACTCAATATCAGGCAGTGAAAAAGGCCATTCATAACTATTTATTGGGTCATTAAAGAGAACTATTCCTGCTTTGTGACAAGTTTTACAAGAAATCCACATTTTCTTCAAACCTGCATTGTGGATGGCCATTTTTTAAGCTATTAACTGTATAAGTATTATTTCTAACATTTGAACTTTAGCAACATAGAAAGTCTCAATTATTCAAGCATTCCATGACATGTGATTACCTTTAACTTGGTCATATTTCTTTGGTATGTCAGGGGGTGAAAAATTGATCTAGCTGCAGACAGCAGCCCCATGTGTCAGGTTTGGTGCAGCAGCATGGAGTGATAACAGTGACAGCCACTTATGATTCTATCTTGTCATCTTTTTATCAGCATATGCAGGCCTGGTGACTGCCCCATTCATCTCGCCTCCCTTGGCATTTCACCTATTTCACATTCATCTGAGCTAGAAGCTTTTTTTATTAGTTTTCAGTAGGAGTTGGAAAAGGCTTTTGCTATATTTGTTTTATTGTGGCTTTGGTTTACATTGAGAGTTTAACATTATGAGCAAAATTGCACATTATGTTGCTTTGTTTAATTAAAAGTAAATCTGTCTTTCATTTGTTTTCACTCCCTTATCCTTTTATGTTGTTAGTAAGGTTTCATATCCCAACATATCACATCCCAAGGTTTTTTACACAAGTGCTGAAGAGGAAATGAAAACTGATATTCCTGACATTTAAGTGCTGAAGAAGCTGTTACAAACGAGTCTTTCGTGCATGTCATAAGCATATGATCTTACCTACATCCAGCTTGGCAGTTGGTTTTCTTTCTGAGATAACGTCAAAATGTATGCAAAGAGAAAATGCCAGAATTCCTGTACACTTTGATCATAATTCTTTTGTTGTTAGTTTTATTAAGTACTGTCTATGTTAGGAAGTTGAGATTAGGAATAGAACAGTTTAGAAAATACTGCTCATCTTGTAATTTTTTTTCCTCTCCTGGGATTCTTGTAGTTTCACTCAAGTAATTGTGTATGAACACTACTTAATACCATGTTTCCCATGTTCTACATTAGGCTTTCTAACATGCTGGCAGAAACGCAAAAAAAAAAGGCAGAATTTAAAGGTGAAGATGGAGTCAAAGTTCCCCACTTAAGATCCTTGACATTGTGCTGTGACCGCGTTGGTGAGAAGTGGTGCTGAGCCTCTGTGCTGTTGTGGTTTCCATGGATAAATTGAGAAGGATGTTTGGTCAGTTCAGCTGCAGATATGGTGTTAGTGCCACAGCCAATGCACTAGTGAGCAGAGGGTGGAAGAAACGTCCTGGGAGAGCAATACAGCAATTTGGAACCGGACGGCTGCAGGCAGGTGAAGGGAGCTGAGCTTAGGCATGAGCTGCTGCTGGTGTTGACTCAATTTCTATTTGCTTCATATTTTCTCTGCTGTCTTTGTAATTGTTTCAGCTGCTGGCAAGCCCTCTGCCAAGCTATCGGTGCTCTTTTATTTACAACTTGATATTGTGCAAAGTCTAGTTGAAACTGCTTTAAACCTCTTTTTTAATGTTAATAAAAGGTATATTTGGATTAGAAGTGGGGATATGTTAATTGAAAGCTGCTTCACAAAATTATTATCCTAACGAAAACATTGATTTTGAGTGAATGTACAGAGTGAAAACACTCTCTGCTATATTTCTTTCTATTGTCACAGCCATGCAAATAAAAGTGAATCACAGCCAGTGTCTTTGCTAATACGCTTGTTAAGTTGTCAAATTGCTCTTGTCACTGTTTTAAACTGTCCTCGCGCCAGGGGCTTTGCAGAAAGGAGAACAAATAGTCTTGCCTGATGGGTCTTTAAGGGCTTTGTGTCACCTCTAAGCGCCTGCTTAGGAAAATGAGTGTGTTTTGTTTAGCAATAAACAGTCCTTTTGAGCCCCTTAATTCTAGTCATGGCCTAGACCAGTGAGATGCCTCAAGGACATCAGTGGTGAGTTTGTCTTGTCCCTTGCTCCACTGGAGAGCTCATCTTACAAAAACTCGCCCTGCTATAGAAGGACCTGAACCCTTTTTTAGCGTGTGGGCCCATCTTCCAGTATCCTGACAAGTTCATGTCTTTTCTTTCCAGTTGACTTCATGTGCTGCATGTCTGATGGTCCCTTGTAAAAGTGATTAGACTTAGATGTTATAGATTGTTACTTTGGATTCTATTTATCTCAAACTAAATGTAGGTGAGGAGGGCTGCTGTTCAATCAGAAACTAGGTAAGTAAAATACATCAGTAAAATGCAGGTCCTATTTTGTTCTTGCAGCTGGAGGACCTGCAAGGAGCAGAGGGTTTTATGAGAAAGGACAGGACTGCAGAGATGAAGATCCTAAAGGTGTGAAGTGCTCCATGGCAGGAGGGCAG